GCCCAAGAACCTATGCAATCGTCAAGCCAAAATCACCAATTACTACAGATTGAAAAATGGACTCCAAAAGAACAACACCTTGTGTTTAGGTATTCCTCATGAGAACCATACTACTATACTAATATGATAATATCCTGATAGAGAGCGATTATATATTTATTTCACACTTCATTATCACACGTACGTCAATACACAAAAACTTAATTCATAACACTTTATACATTAATCAAGTAAAAGAAGGAGAGATTCTTATGAGTAAACCAGGGAAAACATCATCATGATCATGTATATGAGGATTCCCTTCAACGATGTAAGGATCTCCACACTTCTCACTTATTGTCTGCAACGTCTCTCCTTCTTTCACTTCATATATCTCATCGCAAGCTGGCCGTCGATTAGAATATCCGGCGGTTATCATCGACGGCTGATGCTGCTCCACGATCTTCGTAGGTCCCTCCTCATCTGCCATGTGGCAAAAATTCACTAGCAGTAGCATGGCGGCAAAAACTGCGCAGTACCATGAGATCTTCTCTGCTACTACCATGGAAGCAGAATAAGAAGCCATTATAAAAATATATTTAGGGTTTGATTTGGTTGATTATACGTAAAGGGTTTTGTTGATACATATATATATGTTGAGAGATGTGTGTATGGATTAAGTTGATATAAAAGATGATGATGATGTTTTGTTGTTGGAGTTGGTGTGAATATTAGCGGGAGTTGAAACGGTTGTAATGTTGCAGTTCTATTTTGTGTTAGGTCACTTGTCTTTGAATCCTTTCCATTTCATTTTTTTATTATAAGAAAAACAAAAAAGTATTCGAATACAAATTTAATTAAGTTGACCAAATGGTTATATATTATAATAGATCCAATTTATTTATATCTTAAAGTTCTTCACTTTGAGGCTTTGATTTAAGATCAATTTTATATAGAAAAACACTATGGAAATAAGGTGCCAATATTTTTCCAAACTACCTTATATTATAAAATCATATATATAATTATGGAATTTTCTCTTCATCTAAAGTGTCCACATAGGCAAAACTATTTTTTAAAAAATTTAAGTTAAAAAAAAATTATTTTAATACACACTAAATCATATTTATTTATTTATTATAACTAATAAAAAAAATCATAACAAAAACGTGAAACATTAAATAAATGAATGAAAATAAAAATTAATAAATTTAAGACTAGAAAAATAGATATATCTCCATCTAGAGTGTCCACATAAGCAAAACTATTTTTGAAAATATTTAAGTTTAAAAACAAAATTCATTTAATACTCACTAAATCATATTTATTTGTTTTTATAACTAATAAAAAAATTAGAACAAAAACGTGAAACATTAAGTAAATGAATGAAAATGTGTTTATGATTTGTAGTTAAAACAATTAGTAAAAATCAGCTGACGTAATCATATTTCTAAAATGTTAAAAGACAAAAAAATTCTCTATATTATTTCTAAGATCTATATATTTCATGAAATATGAACGGTTTATTTCTTATTAAAATATTTGTACTTCAATAAAAATAAAATCTTTCATTCAATTAACTTCATTTTTTTAAACCACACATTTAACTTAAAACATTATCTTAACTCTTTTATTTTTTAACCTACCAGAAAGACCAACGGTTAAGATATAATATCATAAAATCTCAAATATTTTTTTACAACGAACAAAAATCAAAATATATATAAACTCACGAGACAAAGATAAATGACAAAAAAAAATGAGAAGTAGTCATACTATAATCATACTATAAAAGTAGATTGCAAAATGATTGATAAATTTTATTATGACATACATATAATATAAGCAAAACATTAGTTGATCATGATAAATCATATATAATGGTTTATTTCTGTTTAGTGACAAAGCATAGAGATCATGTATTTTTCTACTTAAAGTTAACAGTTTTTTCTAATTGAAATAATTTGTTTTCCGTGTAAAATATAAGCAAAATACAAAATAAATTTAAGCAACAAAAATACAAAAATACAAAAACTTAATGTTTTGATCATTTTTATAAAGCTTAACAAAAAACATAAAGTTTAATTAAGATATAATGAGATATTTACACTTAAAGATATTGAAATAAATAAAATTTGTATATGTTCTAATCATTTTTACACATAAAAATATCAAAATTAATGACATTAACATATGCTTGATAATAAGTATTTAATTTTATTATATTTATGTATGATACATATTCTTTTTGTAAGTTTGTAGATATTAAAAATCATATGATTTTTCATGCACGTTTAAATATTAAAAAATATATGTTAAAATCAATTAGTCAACCTAATTATTTATTCCGCGTTTGGACGGGGAAATCTATTCAAACTTATTTAAAATCTCTATATATCATCTGACCAATTATTACATGATATTACATTTCCATAATTGATTAAATCAAATCTTTTCTATGACAAAAAAAACAAACCAAATCTCTTCCTCCGTTCACCACCGTCACCGCCATGTCTAACGTCATTTCATCACCTGAAACATGGTTTACGCCGCCGGAAGGTACTCCTACGACTCCTAGGGAGACTGAAACTCCACAGTCTCTTCGAACTCTTCAAACTCTTTCAACTACACCTCAACGCCTATCGACTCGACGACTCTCCGGATGGACAAACACTTTTGTGTGGTTGTTAGGCGGCATATGCCGAATCGATGCGGTTCTTCTAACCATGTTCATTATCGGAACCCTCATTGTATATCTAAATGACAAACCTAGGGTTAGTGGAGTCTTAAATGTCTCAAGGGGTTCTTTGAACAACATATACTTCGACGACTTTCGAAACATCTACGGGAATGTGAACTTGATTTTCAATTTCAGGAATCCGACCAGGAACCACCCTGCGACATTGGAGAGCATCAGGCTCGAACTTATGTTCAAGGACACGGGAATCGCCGAACGAGATCTCTCTACTTATCGTTAAATAATGGTGATACAAGCCACGAGTATGATGGTGAAGTCTGTCGTGTTGCCAATCGTTGAAGTCGCCGAATTGAAAAGACAACTCGATTCGAAGGTGGTAGAGTTGGAAGTTAGAACTAGGTTGAAGGTCCATTCAAAGGTACTGGTTGAATGGGGCATGTAAACTAGTGTAATATAGTTTTTCACTTT